AGCTGCCTCCTAGAGGGTGACAATAGCTCCTAGTTGCCTCATTAACATTAAATTAAAAGGTGTCCCAAATATATAAATATGGGGTGCATTAGCTGAATTTCCCATTTAATGTTATCAATTTAATTTTACTCTTCTGCATTGAAAAGAAACATAATTTAAGCATGTAACATGTTTTGGGTTTCACTGCAATCTTATCACCTTTCATTTTAGAGTGCTGCCTAATATTGAGATCTCTTTTTTCTTAGTTGATTCATGTATTTCTCCCATTAGAGAGACAGAGGGAGATAGAAAAGGAGAGAAAAACACACACTTTTAACAGGGTCTCTGTGTTCCTCTCCCCAGCTTTCTTATTCAACCAGGTTCACAGACATACCTGGAAAGTTCAGGATGACACAGGAACAGAACCCTGTTCTTCCATATAGATCCAGCATCAGGATGCTGGACTCCCACATGGCCGACCGCAGTTCAAGTTCTGGACCTGGTGGCTTGCTTTCTCACTTTCTCTCTCTCTCTTTCACTCTCTTGCTCTCACTCTGTCCCTCTCTGATCAAATTAAAAATAAATAAATAAATAAGTAAAGTTAAATAAAATAATTCTTAAAAAAAAGAAAAAATATACTTTACTAAGTATCATTATAAAGAAAACAGTAGTTTTGCACAATTAAAGTAACTATGGCAACCTATAGATTCAAATAAAGCTGCCTCCTAGAGGGTGACAATAGCTCCTAGTTGCCTCATTAACATTAAATTAAAAGGTGTCCCAAATATATAAATATGGGGTGCATTAGCTGAATTTCCCATTTAATGTTATCAATTTAATTTTACTCTTCTGCATTGAAAAGAAACATAATTTAAGCATGTAACATGTTTTGGGTTTCACTGCAATCTTATCACCTTTCATTTTAGAGTGCTGCCTAATATTGAGATCTCTTTTTTCTTAGTTGATTCATGTATTTCTCCCATTAGAGAGACAGAGGGAGATAGAAAAGGAGAGAAAAACACACACTTTTAACAGGGTCTCTGTGTTCCTCTCCCCAGCTTTCTTATTCAACCAGGTTCACAGACATACCTGGAAAGTTCAGGATGACACAGGAACAGAACCCTGTTCTTCCATATAGATCCAGCATCACAGAGCTGAGTGCTATCACTGTGCCACCACAGCTGACCCTAAGTTGCCTATCTTTTGATACTTGTTAGTAGCAGGAATTAAAACAGAGTAAGGAGACAAAAGACAGCTTTAATAAAACAGTTGGTACAATGGCTGTCAAAGTCTAGCCACACTGGCTGTGCTCTGTCTCCCCACATTTCCTGAGCAGATAAGAGTTAGGTCTGGGGTAATGGGAAAAATAACTACAATCACCAATATTCTAATTTCCAAGCAGGGATGGGCTCTATAAAGAGGCAAATGTCTGAATTTTGAGACTAGGATCTGTATTGTTTTATTCTGGGCTAAGAAATAGCAGGGGTAGGGGTGTGTGAGTGTGTGTGTGTGCACATGTGCATGTGGAAACATACACACATTTAGCATTCAAAAATACATGAACAGGTCATGAATAAATATAGATTAAAAATTTTTAGGATTTGAATGAGCTAATAGAATGTCTTGAGGGAGTTTTGTGATATTTACTAAAAACTGGAGAAAATAAATATTCAAAGGTGCATAAAGAGATTGTCTAGGGTAAGAGTGTAAGGACGATGGGGCCGACAGGTGGTATGGTGGTTAAGAGTGCTGGACTCCACATGGCCAACCATGGTTTGAGTCCCGGACTTGGTAGCTTGCTTTCTCACTACCCAGCTTCCCTCTCTCTCTCTCACTCTCACTCTTACTCTCACTCTGTCCCTCCCTGGTCAAATTAAAATAAATAAGATAAATAAAATTCAATAAAGTAATAATAAAATAATTCTTTAAAAAAGTATAAGAAGAGAATACTTGGAGATAAGATGGTAGATATAACAGGAAGTTAATGGGAAAATGTTGCTAGTACAGCTCAAAAATCTATTTGTAATTTAATAATCAAATGGCTGTTCCTGAAGTTTTTGCAAGGAGTATGATAAAAGTTTATAAGTAATTCTGAGAGTGATTAACAGAACACCCCATGAGGAAAAACAGTGGAGAGAGCAGTACGATGTACAAGCAAGAGGGGCTAGTAGGCTGCATGATGGCTAGAGCAATGGACTCCCACATGTCTGACCATGGTTTTAGTCCCAGACCTGGCAGCTTGAAAATCATGTGAGAGGCATGTATGTGTGTGCCCAAAATCTCAGGAGACAGGAGGAAAAGGGATTGTGACATGGCCATCCCTGTGACATGGCCATCCCTCCTATGGGGAGATTTCTCATTTTTCCTCTGTCTCCCACAGGCAAGTGCATGAGCCCTATGGCAAAAACCATGTATGCACGCACACACACACACACACACACACACACACACACACACGATACATAGGCAAGAAAATATGAGGCTAGAGTTAGAGTACACACACTAGAAACAGAAAGAACTCTGAGAGGTATTAAGTAGATAGAATATTGACACAGGCAACAGACTAGATCTAGAAAGTAAAAGAGTGAATGGAATATTAATGGAAAAGATATTAATACAAAAAATTATTCCTTAATTCATTACATATTTATTGGACAGTTATTTTGTGTTGAGAGTGTTTGTTACTTTCTGCCAGGCACTCTGCTGAGAGCTGAAAGAAGTATGGGTGCTGCTTTGGTGAGATGATAGAAGGGCTGAAAATATTAGCAGTACATTCAAGCTGCCAGCTGTCCACAGAGATCTGCAGCTTAGAACAACTGGAGGGACAAGCACATGGCATAATGGTTATGTTGCTGGACTCCAATGTAGTCGACCGCAGTTCGAGTCCCAGGTCCACCAGCTTCACACTCACACCGAATGCTTGTGTGTGCATGTCCAAGATCCTGAGAGGAGAATGGAGGAGAAGGGATTGTGGTATGGCCATCCCCACTGAGGAATGATTTCTTGCTTTCTGCCTCTCTGTCTGTCTCTGTCTCTCTGGTGAGTGCATATGCTCTATAGCAAAAAGCTCGCTTAAGAAAAAAAAAAAAAGGAAGGAGAATAACTGGGTTGGAATGATCTGTACATGGAGAGGTCAGAGTTGAAACTATGCAAGGGGGTGACATTACTAAAGAAAATTCCCAGAAAGAAGAAATTGAGTTTGAGGACAGATGTGAGAAAAAATTATACTATATATAATGATCTTAGGGACCAAGCACTATAGGCAAAGGAATAATCAAAATAAATAAGAGTGAAAGGATGACAAAGCCTGAGAAGAGGTTACTGGACTAGGTCACTAGGCAAGCATTTCAAAAAGCCCCTTTAGTAAGTAAGGAGTTAGAAACAGACAGTGGCAATGGTGAGATAACTTTGGCTGAGAAGAAGAAAAGAACCATAAAATGGTTTCTAGACAGACTAGCAACAATACTTAAGACATTATAAGCTGTTAGATGACATTTATTAGAACGCTCTAGTGCCAGGCATTGTTCTAAGCGCTTGACACTTATTAACACATTTAATCCCCACCATAATTTATGATATACGGGAGAAATACTATTATGTTTTTTTTTTTTTAAGATTTAAAAAATTTTTTTGCTATAAGGCGTATGTGCTTGCCAGACAGAGGGAGAAGAAAAATGAGAAATCACCCCTGGCCCCCAGGAAAGATGGCCACACCTCAATCCCTTCTCCTCTCAGGATTTTTGGACAAGCATTCATACATGTCCGGCATGTTTTTCAAGCCACCAGGTTGGTACTCGAATCACACAGCCAGTTACGTGAGATCCACACACCTTAACCACCACACCACCTGCTGGCTTCATTACGTCTGTCTTATAGAGGGAAATACTACTATCATTGTGTTTTTCTTATATATACGGCGATTACTGTCACACAGTTAATAAGTATTCATTTTAACCAAGACTGACTTCAGAGTTCCTTGACGACTATGCTATGTTATGAGGCTATCTGAAATTTAGACAGGTTTCTGCAAAAGAGAAAAAGGAAGCGATGGAGTAATGATAAAAGCAAGGTCAAAGGAAAGGGATGGGGATAACTCCTTTTCAATTTTTTTTTTTTTTTCTTTTTGCTATAGGGTGTATGAGCTCGTCAGAGAGCCAGAAAGTAAGAAATGCCCCCCTGGGGAGATGGCCACACCACAGGTCTTTGTCTTCCATTTTCTCCATTCTCCTCTTGGGATTTTGGGCATGCACACACATTCACCAGATACAAGTTTCAAGCTGCTAGGTCCAGTACTCTAACTGTAGTCAGCTATATGGGAGTCCAGTGCCTTAACCACTACACCATCTGCTGGTCCTGGGATGTCTCCTTTTCAGCTTAGTGAAGGCTTTCTGGAAACTGGGTTAAAAGAGGAAAAGAGAGTGAAATGGATGAATTTCTAAGCCCAGAGGTAACGGTGAGTACTGAGGGGCCTACGATGGGTGACAGTTTTGGCCATGTTGCAAGAGGTAAGATTTGAAGTGCTTGATGAAGATATTTATTCTCGAAGTGCAGAGTCGGGAAAGGGTTTGGAATATACTTTATATGAACTCCATTATTTATTTTTCTTAGAAATGAAAATTTATTGCATGGAGGCAAAGCAAAGATCCTTAGGTACGCAGGAATTGATCAACAAACCCTACCCAGGCGCACATGCATTATAAGAGGAATCACATGTATTCCTTAGCTGTGCAGACCCCAGTCCTAGGTAGTATATAAGAACTAAAAGGCAACTTCTCATCTCATAGATGTTCTCTCTCTCTTTTTCAAGTGGCTTTACCAGCAAAATAAAATGTAAAGTGCAGCCCACCTAAATCAATGACACATTGATGTACATTTCTCCTTTGCAGGTTTCTTTTTTTTTTTTTTGTAAGAAGTGAATGCTATTTAAAATCCGTTACTAGGTGATAATGGCAAAGCACATTTTGCTTTTTCTTCTAAAGTCGACCCTATACATTTCACTGTGTATTTGCAAGTCAAAATACCTGTTGCCGTGCACATGAGAAGCACAGAATGCAAAGCTGTAATGGAGCAAGGTTGGGTCAATGACAGCACCATTTTCTGAATGTTCCATCAGTTCTGTAAGGTAGCAGAGATGTCTGTGACAGCCTCTCACACCGTAACGGGCACAGTACTCATCTAACACAAAGACCTGGCCAGGGCTAAACCAACCCTGCAAAGGAAAAAAAAAAAAAAAAAAAAAGTAGTTTTTCTTTCTACATTGAGATTTGCTTTTCTATAGGCACTTTAAGCATTATTAAGCAGAAGCTGCATGGAAGTGCTGTTTGACATTTATTTTACTAGTGGATGCTTCGAGTTATTTTCAGAAGAGCTAGTGGCATCTACTTGGGAACAGATTCGGGACACTGGCCACCTAGTAGAATTTTCTCTTTATTGTTTTTGTAAAGCATGAGTAACTGATTTTCTCCACTGTCATTCCAAATTAGTCAAATTCACACACTGTTAGTCACAAAGAATGATATTCCAAAAACTTAATCTCTTTGCAAAATGAATAAAAAGATGATGATAAAGTGGACGCTATAATTGAAATTGCACTTACTAGAGGTATTTTGTAAAGTAAACTAAAAGAAAATTCTAGTTAAGTCTATTAGTACAGCACAAAAAGTTTGTTCTGGTACCAAATATTTGAAATCTATACTTAAAAAAAATTACAAAATGCATTTTCCATGAACATTTTGAAGATCATGTTGTATTTAGGCATGTCAATATCTGAGATTTTTCTTTCTTTCTGTGTCTTCCTGATCAATATAACAGACTTAGAGTCTCATAGTACAAATTTCTGGTCTTCCTGAAATGAGAGGTTAGAATGCCTGCCCATGTACACATATGCACGTACACACGTGTGTACACACATCAACTGAAGCAGCAGGCAGCCTGCTTGGTTCACTCAGGATGGAGTCATCAAATATCCTGATGAATTATATCAATTAAGAAAAACTGTAACAATAAAAATTATAATTATAAATAATAAAGAGAAAGAATGAAGAAGGGTTTCAAAGAGCAGGATTATCATGCAAGAGCAGGAGAAGACTGGTAAGAAAGGGAGAAAAATGAGAAGGCAATAAAGAGGAAGAGAAGAAAAAATACCCCCAGGATATTTACCATGGTAAAGGTAAACGCACTGCACAAGGCACGTTCCAGACAGTATACCTTTAACGTGTGGAACCATCATGCATGGTAGGTAGGATTTTCACAAATAAGCTAAACTTAGCAGTGTTAAGTGACTTGTCCAAGACCACACTACAAATCAGTAGATGAGCCATGATTTATCTCCAGGGTCATCCTGTATCCAACCACTGACCACACTACACTTGCTCCTCTCTATGTGCAGTGGAAGATTAGCTGTCATATTCTTCTCAGAATACATATTATGCATGGGCTATAACAAAATCAAAGCGACTTTTGATAATTCAGTAACTATGTCCAAGAGGACATGCCTTATTGATGGTCACTGGCCGTGTGCTGTCCATGAAAAGAGGTCACAGGGTTCTCTTTTCTCCTTTTTAAAAAATCTTTTTGCCATAGGGGTTTTTTTAATTGCTTGTTTTACTCTTGATTCTAAAGCTTGACTTGGATCAGAACACTTACACAGAGATCAGCTACATAGCAAACGATCTAAAGGTGAGTTAATGAACTTTAATGTTATCATGGCATAAACTGTTTCACTTCTTCCTGTCTATTTAAGTATCTCTAATGAGTTGGCAGGGCATTCTGTACAAAATCTTATTTTAAGGAGAGCATAACTTCACTGAACACCATTACTATATTAAAGTGGTGGTAGAAATAGGCATACTCTGGCTGGAAAAATTGCAGAAGGATTTCCATAGACAATGTAAGTCCTTTGAAAGGCTCATGCGATTCTTCAGCCACTAAGTTTAGTCCCCTCCCCCCGCTTCTGAGTTGTCAAACGTTCCTTCTAAATATTAATACAAATTATACTTTTTATTCCAAATTTGGGCTACGGTTTCAGCACACACAAGGTAGTAGTTTTAGCTACTCAATTTAAAGTCTCCCTTCCTTTTTTAAAAGATTTCCAAGTGATCTTTGATGGACTACATGAAACTAAGTTGTCCTCTGATACGGACTGGCCCTGTCATATTACGTTCCTTTCATTGTCACTTCGGTTCCTTCTAAGAAGAAAAGAGAGAAATGCAAGATACCAACATCTGGTGAGCAGAATTTAAGCCTTAAAATGTCGGTACAGGTGTTAGGAAATCCTGCAACAGAATTTTTCTTTTAATCTTTATTTAAAGCCTTTTGTTTTCATTCAGCCTTCTCTGGAGGGACTGATAAACCACGGTTCAGCCTCTATTTGAGTCTATTTTCTTGTCTATTGAGTGGCACAGCGGTGGTCTTCAAGTGTATAATTTTCAAATTGGGAAGCAATCGATTAGAATCCTTTATCCCTAACTCCAACTACAGTTATTAAATGAGTCAGGAATAAAAACGCTTCTTTACAACAAGTATTTCTCACTTTCTAAGTCTTTTATTCTAACCTATAGGGGACTAGATAGATGTATACTCACCAAGCAAGAATAGGAATCATTCAGTCTGTGATCCAAAGTCTGCCTTTGGAGTATTTTAAAAAGGAAGGCATGGTCAAGCTTGCAAGGATTAGCAGAAATAAACTCATCCATACCATGCTTCTGAAAACGGTCTGCATCTGGAAATTCAGAAAAGCAAGATGTATAGTACATTTATTGTTCCAGTTAAATAAAGGATAAATAGTGTTCAAATAAGACAAAATTTATGTCTCATGATAATCACCTATAACATGAAATATGATGCCAGAAAGTCAGTGTATTGATATAAATGACAGATTTTTTGAAGCCTAAGTAAAATGATAGTAAACATTTTTTCTAATATCTATTGGAAAAAAACCCCTATATTTTCCAAGCTAGGAAAAGTTGATGTATTTTAAGTATGCATTTACTGTAGGAGTAGACTGCAAAAGAACCAAAGTCTGTTCATAAAAAAACAGCAATGACGGCCAGAAGCCTGCTTTCCAAATGGCAAACTAGGGCAGAAATGAACACACAGTTTCAGCTGGATCACTTCCAGTCTTCTTTTTGTATGGAGCTTTTAATGGGACCAACCTTAATGCAGAAATAGCAGTGGACGCTCTCAAGCTTCAAGTTTAAGAGACATGAAAAAGGGAGCATCATGTTTGTGCAAATATGCAGACAAAGCATAACGTCCCAAATGGCACTTCAATCAAAGGCCCAAATTTATTGTTCTTTACAGATTGCATCTTTCAACGCCTGTAGACCCTGCGGGTTTCTCAAAAGGCACGCTTTTATGATTGCTTTCATTAATGGTATGTTTTGTCGAAGTCTTCAATGTGAGTTATTTACTAAGTATGGAGAGAAAAAGCCAAGTACTACCCCAAAGGAGTGCTGGGTGTTACTACATTAGCTCTGTTAGAAACATAGTGCATATTGGGCAAGCCGTCAGTTATCAAGATAAAAATGGACCCTTCTCACAATGGAAGAGCTGAAGCGCCATTGTTCCTTAAAATTCAGATAGATCTCTCTCTGGTCATCACAAGAAAAGCAGAGTCCTAAATGTAAGCTAAGTGTAGTCTCTAAGACCTACATGGTACGATCCTAAAATTGTAAAGGAAAAGAGACAAAAGTTTATTGATTAAACCCAATTATAGAGTCAGGCTCATAATAAAACTCAATATTGATCTGTGGACATGATGCTAACATAATCAGTCACATTTAGATATTTAGCCCAGATCATATTGATCCATGTCAAGTTCAACTTTCAGCCATATTTGTGGATGGAAGAACTATATAATTCAAGCTGAAGGGTCCTCAGAATCACATTTAAAAAAGAAAAGATACACAACCTAATGTATATCTCCCCTCAATGACAGCTATCTAAAGGTGAATGTACCAAGTAAGCAAATTATTGATGATGTAAGGTAGGAAATTATGATCCATGGAGAAAGTAGCATATGTATCCCTTCATATTTAATAATTACTTGAATGATTAAATGCATTACATGTGATAAATTAGTATTAATTGAATGAACACAAACCTAAACTGATTTTTCTGAGCTGAGAAATGAGATAATCCAACTTCTCTTGTATTTTATTCTCTCTGATAGTCTTTTAATATAAATTAAATATGTGATAATGTGAAATAATATCAAATGAGTAGGAGTCAAGAATATAACAAAATGCAAAGCATATATATTATAAAATGGAAAGATTATTTTGCATTTTAAGGAATTATCTTAGCATTTTCATTTCTCTCTATATATATAACTAAAAGAATTCTTTCAGCATCACCTTTATAAAATTAAATTACTATTTCTAGAAAACAGCTGCTGAATTTTATTCATTATTTCTTACACCAGAGAAGGTCATAACAAGCAGTTAAAAATAAAGCCCATTAATGGCTTTCTGTTGAGAATATGATATATAATAAATCTCAGAGGAAAAGAAATCATAATTCTTCTTTTCCTCTACAGATTTACAGAAACAATATTTTTCTTTTTAAAACAACAGCAGTACAGTCCTTAAATAAAATATACAACCTTCTAAAAAAAATAAGTCTGCAGTTCATCTCTACAATTAAAACTTTTTTTAAATGAATTTATTAGGTTGTTAGGAAAGACATGATACATTTTTGCTTAGAAAAATATGTCATGACTTTCCTGAAAACCTAATACTTTACAAAAATAATTTCTCATAAAGTATAACCAGCTCCAAACCATTTATTTACTAATGTGATAAACCTTTCCAAATCACATACACAAATGGAAAATTACTTTTTCAACAATTTCCATTAGCAATAAAATTATATTCATGATAGCAGTTTAGGTCACCAATACAGATTGCATACCAGCACTGAAGAAAGGCAAACAAACTCATTAACATTTTATTTTTTAAAACCAATGTGTCTTCCCCGGGAGCTATATTTCTATGAAAATGAAATATGTTCTTAGGCTTATCTCATCTGAAAACACAGGCTGGAGGGCCAGTCTCGTGGCTCAGTGGTTAAAGTAGCTCGAACCCACAAGTCTGACCGTGAGGTTCAGGTCTGGTCCTGGTACATATAAACACATATCAAAACACTTTATGCAGAAATGTTTCAGCATGTGTCAGTATATCATTAATTTTCATGAATTCATGAGGAAGTAAAGATAAATCACAAAAGGCAAGTCTTAATTTCCCTCTGTGAGAAATCTTTTTTTTTTTTTTGCTATAGGGCGTGTGCACTCACCAGACAGAGAGAGAGACAGAAAGTGAGAAATCACCCTCCAGGTGGGAAGGTCATGCCGCAATCCCTTCTCCTCTATTCTCCCCTTGGGTTTTTGGACATGCAAACATGCACCTGATGTGAGTTTCAAGCCACTGAGTCTGGGACTCAAAACATGGTTGATCCACAAGTGAGTCAAGTACCTTAACCATTATGACACCTGCTGGCCTCAAGAAATGTTTTTTTTTCTAAATAAATATTTTGTGGATATTTGAGCTGAGCTTTACAATGTGATGTTACAGGACATGTTGGGTTGTAAGGAAAGTCATGAGATATTTTTCTGTTTTTCTATGCAAAAATACCTCGTGATTCAGGACAATCCAATATAAAGACAATAAAAAGGTTTCTAAGGTGACACAAATTAACATATATAATAGCTTTTTTGTGATAAAGACAGCTAATTTAACAAAAATCTTTATTTATTTATTTATTTATTTTTTGCTCTAACAGGGCACATATATTCACCAGAGAAAGACGCAGAGAGAAAGTGAGAAATATCAACTCCCAGAGGGGATGGCCATGCCACATTCCCTTCTCCAGTCTCCTCTTGGGATTTTGGACATGCATGCAATGCAACTGGCATGATTTTCAAGTCTCTGGGTCAGGACTCGAATAATGCAGCTGACCATTAAGGATTGAAAGCCTTAATCTCCATGTCACCAGCTGTCCCTGAAAAAACTTTTTTTTTTTAAACAAAAATCATCTTATAATACAATTCTGTTGACTCTAGTCCTTATGTTGACATTAGATCTCTAGATTTGTTTATCTTACTTATCGGCTGCTTTGTATCCTATGACCTGTATCTCCCCTCCCACCATCTTATTATTTTATAAAGTATCCTATGACCCACATCTCCCCTCCCACCATCTTATTATTTTATAATAAGAAAAGTTTAATATTTTAAAATTTTACACAAACCATGGAGATAGGATAGCTTAACCAAAGAATATCTGTCAGCCCATACAAGGCAATGCATTATGTCTGAGGTAAAAAAAAAATGTTTAGCAGCATAATCTTCACCCTTTCAGCTCACCCTACTATCTTAGAATTTCTGTATATTATGACAGCCAATAAGAAGAGAAATAAAACCACTTCACTTGGAGAAGTATTTCAATACATATTATATCCTTAAAAAGATAAAGTTGTCTTATAGTAAGTTAGAATTCATACATTTATTATTGTTTTGACCATCTCCAAATGTTCATTATATTTAGTTTTGAAAATAAATGTTTTCTTTCTAGTAATGACAAACATACTTCAAAGGAAATTCAGGAAATAAAGTAGTAACTAGTCCCTCCAATTAAACTCTTTTACTGTAAAAATTTTAGGTATATCTCTACCTATATATTTTATTTCTTTTAACGTGGGTATTTTTATGTAGTAAAAATAATACCGAATATATAACTTAGCATTACTTAACACATATTGGCCATTCATTTAATGCATCATATTGTAACACCTTCATAGTCATTACTGTATATCTAGATAAATGGTAGACCTTAGGTTACTTCTATTTTTCTGTTGTAATAGACATTTTGTTGTCTAAATTATAATCTAAATATTCTGTGTTTCATAGGAAATAAGAGAGTGACATTGTAGCAAAGATTGTGATATTCCTTTTTAAAATACATATTTTCTCCCATTTTAAAATTTTTAAATCTTTTTATTTACTCATTTATTTATTTATCTTAATTTTGACCAGACAGAAAGAGAGAGAGAAAAATAGAGAGAGAAAGTGAGAAAGCAAGCCACCAGGTCTGGGACTTGAACCTTGGTTGGCCATATGGAGTATCTAGCACCTTAACCACCACACCACCTGCTGGTCCCAATCCTGATATTCTTAAAACATCATACCATTACCACAATTTTAATATGTTTAAGCAAAAAAAAAAATATATCATGAAAATACTTACCCTTTCCAGCTATGGGCCAGCACAGAAATGAGAAACAAAGCATAGTTAAATGTTAGGAATATTAAATAACTAGTCATTTAAATGTTGTTTTTTTTTTTCATTTTCTATTATTGACTCTAAAAGTTATTCTTCTAAGATTTTAAGGAAAAAAGAATAATGAATGAAATGTACAACAAAGGGAGGAAAATCTTGGAAACTAAGCAGGATTGGGTCTGGTTAGTACTTGGATGGAGGAAATAGATCATAAGGCTATCTGAATAAATAGATTACTTGAATCTGTTATTCATGAATTCTGCATTGTCTCACCATGTACTTTTTTTAAAAAAATCATATTTATTTATTATTATTATTAAACTTTTTTTTTTCTTTCTATAGGGCATGTACATTCACCAGAGAGAGACACGGGACAGGGTAAGAAAGCAAGCCACCAAGTCCAGTACTGGAATCACAGTTGGCTAGGTTTGGGACTCAAACCATGGAAGTCCGGTGCTTTAACTGCCATGCCAAGGGTGATCTGACTGTGACATCTGTCACTCCATTGACTGCCAGGGCTGATTTGGCTGTTTTGGCTGGCTGGGCAGGTATCCCTTTCCTCCTTCACCACTCAATGCATGTCTCTGCTGAAGCTCTGCGCTTGGTTAAGGAAGATGATGATCTCTGATAGAGGAGGATCGTTCTTTGGTCAAGGGTATATGAGTAGCTGCACCCCCTTGCTAGAACCTCCAAACAAGCTCTCATCATGTCCTTAATGTTTTAGCCTAGTGGTTCAACTACTCTTGCCACTACATGCAAGGTGAATGATTTGTGAGCTCAACATGCTCCTTGGGCATTTCTTACACTTAGGATGCTAAGAAAAAATGCTGGAAAGTGAAGAAGGATGATAATATTCAAAACAACTACTAAGTCACTGTTATTCAGTGGTTCCCAAATAGGCGTGAGTCTGAACTTCAACCCTGCTCCCTGGGACATTTGGCAATGTCTGGAAATATATTTGGTTGTCAGACTTGGGGGGAATTGGGAATACACTGGCAACCAGTGGGCAGAGGCCACAGTTGCTGCTAAAAATAGAATGACCTGGCCTAACATGTCAATAGTGTCAAGGCTGAGAAATATTGCTCTAACTTAATGAAAAACAAAACAAAACAAAACAAAACAAAACAAAACAAAACAATAGTCTCTTTCTTATAAGGATGGTATAATTTACTCTCCTAATTGAAATGACCAAAAATTCACGGGAAAAAAAGTTTCTCAAAACATTGTACATCAGGCAATGTAAAGTGTGATTTTGAGTGCCGGAAAACAAAGAAGGTAAGCCACTTCCAGAAGAGATTTTCTAGGTTGTGGCACAGGAAACTGGAACTTAGGAAAAGCCAGAGGTCTCCCTGAGTTGAGAACATGGGGCTGAGAGGTTTTGGGGGGGTGGAGGCCGCAGCAGCTAGCGTTTGCAAGGAAGAGTACTGAAGAGGAGAAGACGTCACAGAGAGAATACAGATCTGAAGAGCGCCTCTCATAAGTATTCATAAAATATGGATCAGTAATGCAGGGGTGCAAACTATCTGAGGACAAGAAAAGAATCACTCTGAAAAACTGGAGGAGACAATGCCCCAGCATTTTTGTACACAGCCTGAAATGGTGGTGCTTGTTTTCAGCAGTCAGATTACAAAGCTCCATAATTCATAATTCATACTGGGTTGCCAGTTAGAATATTAAGAAGGATCTTGGTCCACAAGTGCGAAAAAACAGTGCTAGGCTAAATGTTGCTTGGGCCCATCTAATAAAATTAAAAGCAAAACCTGAAAAGATCACTGAACTGTTTCCAAGTAGTTTAACTGTGTCCAGAACAAAGTTCGAGAACATTTTCATGAAGAAAACTACACCAAGGCACATCCTAATCAGATTGCTCAAAAAGAGCTGTGACAATAACTTATCTGCAATGACAGGGCCAGGCAAGATGCTCTGTATGCTGAGGGTACACTGCTGCTATGGAAACTGAAGCCACCTGGATTTGATTCCCAGCATACCCTACTAGTCAGGCCTGGTGGTATAAGCCTGTGTTCACAGCTACTCAGAGGCCAAAGCAGGAGGATAGTGACATAATGAGACCCCATCTCAAAAAGAAATAGCATTAAAGAGAAAGTCTTGGGTCATACAGCCTAATACTTAAGGGAGCCAGACCCACATGGTCCACTGAGATTAGAATGCCAGACCTAGTGGCTTGAAAAACATGGTGGGCATGTGTGTGTGTGTGTGTGTGTGTGTGTGTCCTAAACCCTGACAGAATGAAGGAATGAAGAAGAAGGGATTGCTGTGTGACCATGCCTCCCTGGAGGTGCCTTCTCCCTTTCTCTGTATCTATTAGTCTCTTTTCAGTGAGTGCTTATATCCTCTAGCAATTAAAAAACAAAAAAGTGAGGAAGTCTTTAAAATAGGTACAGGAAAAGAGGACACATTATGTACAGAGGGACAATCCAAATGACAGCACATTTCTCATTTATAAAATAAAATGCAGGACAGAAGAAAGTGGAACAAAATCTTCAAAGTACTAAAAAAAAATCTTCTAAAAAATGAAGGTAAAATAAAGACTTTTTCACATACAAAAATCACTAGTAGATCTACACTATAAGACATAGGCCTTCATGTCTAAAGGTCTACTAGAAGTAAAATATCAACACAGTAAAACATGGGCAATTATATAACATTTTCTCCTATTATTTAAATTTTTAAAAAGATAATTGATTATGTAATATAAAGACAATAATAATAATAGCTATTATTACTGAATTTACATCTTACGTAGAAGTAAAATGTATGTTAAGACTAGAACAAAGGTCATAAAGGGAAGAGATATACTATTGAAAGGTTCATATATGATACATAAAATTGCATAATATAACTTAAAAGTATACTTTTAAGTTTTAAGATATGTTTATAGACATTAAACCATGAAGCAATCATTAATATAAGAAAATGAACAATTGGAAATTGAAATAAAAATGCTATTTATAGTAGCAGCAAATAAAGAAATACCAAGGAGTAAATCTGACAAAAGATGTGTAAGATCTATTCATTGGAAAGTATAAGCATCCGAGAGAAAAATCAGAGACTTTCCAAACAAATGACCTATATACTATTCCTGGGTTGGAAGACTCCATAATGCTGTCAGTTTTCCAAAATTTTCCACAAAACCACCTAAAGATTATAGGCTGTGGGAGGCTGCACACCAGCGAGTCTGCAGAGGCCATTTTCATGAGTCTCTTACTATTGCCATCTTAGGCTCAGAGAGCAAACAATTACACAATGACAAAGGCCATGATTGGCTTCCCTTCCAAACCTCACCTTCAAAACCATACTCTGATTGGCCACTAGAATCCCTCATATTTGCATATCCAGTACCTCATGATTGGTTCACAAAAGCAACCAATCATAACCCACCTTTTAACAACCAATCACCGCCCACCAACATGTATATAACCACGATCCCTGGCCCACAATAAATGGTGACCCTGAAGAGTTGTAACACTGTGTTGTCCCCATGTTGTAACATTGAGCCATTCATCCTGTCTCTCACTCCTTCCCTCAGGAAACCTGTTCGACTGTCCTGCAGGTTGGGACACTAGGCATTCCTAATCAAAGTCCCAAAGGATGTTAATGTGTTTTAAAAATTCACAAAGAAATATGAAAGACACAGAATAGCCAAAACAGATTGAAAAAGAAGAACCAGTTCAGAGGCCTTGACTTCACACTACAATGCTACAGTAATGAAGACAGTATGGCAAATAATATAAAGGTAGAAAGGCTGATTTCAGAGACTAATGGGATGGATGAAAGTGGATGTTAACAGGTGGGTGGGAGAGCTCAGGGAAGAAACACTTAATAGACACAAGAATGTCAAGTTTGCTGTTGAAAATAATATATATTGTAATATCTTTGGTTGTCATATACTGATGCATACTTTGAACAACTCTTGTGTATTATTGAGGTGTAGAGTGATGAAAATTAAAAAAAAGAAATCACACAAAAAAGAAATCAACAAATATGTAGTCAATTCATTTTGAAAAATATTATGGGCAATTCAGTAGAAGATAGTTTTATCAACTCACTGCACTGGAATGACTATATATCTATATCACATCCATGAACACTGATGTCCACCTTTCACCATATACAAAACTAACTTCAAGTCGACATAAAATATAAAAGTCAAAACTATAAAATTTCTAGAAGATCATAGGAGAAAATTTTCATGTTCTTGGGTTAGAAAAAGATTTCTTAGTGATAATACAGAAAGCACATCCATTTAAAAATAATAAAATAAACTTTATCAAAATTAAATTTTTTTCCTTGCTGAAATTCACTATTAAAAGATACAAAAAGGCAAGCCACTGATCAGAAACAGGTACTTGTAAATCATGTATCTGATAAATGTCTTGTATCTACAATATTTAGATATTCTCTTGAAATTCTATAATAAGAAAATAACTCAATTATAAAATAGTATTAATTTTGGGAAAGATATCTTACCAAAGAAGATATATGGATTGCAAAAAAGCACAAGAAAATAGTATTTCTCTGTATGGGCGTTAGCCAACTACAAAACATAATAACAAATAAGCTATAACAACAAAAAATATGAAATGTTTAGAAGTTAGTTTAAACAAGAATGAAAGAGCTCTAAGGACAAAAGATTTTGAAAACATACAACTAAAGGAAAAAAGTAAAACCGAGTAAGACAAATAACACTATATTACGTATGCAGCTTGACACTAAGTGCATATATACCATATGTAGTTTTATAACACATCAAACAAGAGAGGTTTGCATTAAATGCTGTAGAACTGTGGCTCAGAAGAGAAAAGCTTGTTGATTGGCCTATAGAAATGAAAGAAAATAATTTTTAATATTTGGCTTTGCATATCATGAATCTAAACCAGGAAGGAAAAACAAAAATGAAGATCAGCCAGAGAGAGGAAAATGGTTTTGCGGAAATGATCTGACTAGAATTTACACTGTGATGGTGGTGGTGGTGGTAGTGGTGGTGGTGGGGAAAGGGAAAGGGTTGGGTGATTAAAACAAAACAAAACAAACCAAAAACACCAGTAAGGAAAATAAAAAAGTCATGGGGACAAGCTGAAGGAGTCTTGCATCTTGATGCCCCATGCATGCACAGCCCTGAAGATATAGCCAATCTGGCAACTTACATAGGAGAGAGATGATGAATAAGAGTGGTGCTGAGACAGAAATGCCTGAGTGAGCATTCCAGAATATCGCTATAGAACACTTGAAAGTAACCACACACTACTAGGGCAAAAGCTCACTAAATATCATGTAAGGATTTAGAAGTGTCTGGAGTTGAGACGAGGTCCATGGACTATGTGCACCTCATTACCACTTGCCATTGGTAGGTCCATGGTTCTGAACAAGGTGAACCAGCACACAATGAAGGAACAGTCAGACAAGCTATGGCCATTACGGACAGAGGGCAGTCTTGGACTAGATCCTCATTCAATGGCCACATAGTTTTATGCAATTTCTATGGAACTTAATTTACTCTGGATGAAGTAAATGGAGAAGTGGGAGAGAAAGCGCCTTGCCTTGACTAAATTGACATCTGTGACTGAGTCACTCTGAACTGATAGGCATTACTTTTTGGACAATAGAAATGGAGATTCAAGATATGTTTACTGTAGAGAAGTAAAGTGGCACTTCTGCACACCTTAGTTATGACAGAAAATTCTTATCTACTATATAGTCCACATAGATGGTCAGGGGATGAAAATAAGGCGGAGGAGGTAATTTTTTTTTTTTTTTGAGAGGTTTTTGCTATAGGGCGCATGCACTTGCCAGAAAAAATAGACAGACAGAAAGCGAGAAATCATCCTCCAGGGGGGGATGGCCACACCACCATCCCTTCTCCTCCATTCTCCTCTCAGGATCTTGGGCACACACACTCAAGTGCCTGGCATGAGTTCAAGCCATTGGGTTCAGGACTCAACCTGTGGTTGACTGCATGGGAGTCCAGCGGGGTAGCCATTACGCCATCTGCTTGTCCCACTTATAGTCTACCTTTAACTGAGCTAAAGTGGCACTCTCTGCCTGCTTCTCTCTGATAAGTGTGCATGCTCTATAGACCTATAGCCAAAAACAAAACAAAACAAAACAAAACAAGACATGTCCAGATGTGATAATAAACCGTATGTTCAAACTAAAAAGTAGCGGCCAGCAGGTGGTGTGGTGGTTAAAGGCACTGGATTCCCACGTGGCCAACCATGGCTCAAGTCCTGGACCTGGTAGCTTCCTTTCTCATGTTCCTCTCTCTCCCTTTCCTCTCTCCTTCTGTCTCTCTGGTCAAATTAAAATAAATAAATAAAATAATTCAAAAAAAAAAAAAAAAGAGGCCAAAAATTAAACATTTGGAAAAAAAACCTCTAAAAAATAGAAAAAAAAGAGAAAGAGACAGTAGTTGCTTGATGCATGAAAAGAATAAATAATGTATGTCAAAGCTCTTACTCCCTTGGAAAAGAATTTTGAGAATAAAAAGCTACAAGTTGAGCTTAAAGACAATCTGATTTAATACAGGCAAACCCAGATAAGTTTTGCAAGTGTAATAAGTTAAAATATTTGATTTTGTGATTTTTTTCTTTTGTTTTTCTTTTGTTATAGGGCTCTCACTGTACTTGCCAGAGACAGAGAGGGAAATGAAAAAGCACCCCTTAGCGAGGATGGCTAGGCCATAATTCTGCCTCTCCCATTCTCCTCTTGGAAGTTTGGGTACATACTCTCATGTGCCTGGCATGTTTTTCAAGTTGCCAGGCCTGAGACTCTAACTCCACAGTCAGTAAAGTGGGATACGACCCCCTTAACCACCACACCACTGACTGGCCTAGGTTCAGTGATTATTAAAGCTAAGTTTGAAAATGTTTCTACCATTATTACATAATTTGTTATTAATTACTAGTAAATTAAAATGAAAGATACAGTTCTTAATTATTTAAATTAGCATACAGACAATGACATGATACTAAGGCATTTGGAAAAAGGAAGTCCGCTCTATGACTTACTCCTTTTTATCATTCTAAAAGAGAAAAGAAGACCTATTATCCTTATAGGTCATTAGGAACAACTCTAGAATGTGATGGTTTATCTTTTTGGTATTCTGGAATCCTATTAATGCAAATTTGATTTGGCAATACTTTTTCTATTTGAATAGAACACACAGATTAACACTATAAATTAAAAGTACATTTTCCTTTGATAAGTTTTAAAGAATATTCATACATACTTTTGAGATTTCCAGAAATACCCCGAAACCACATGTACCACATTTACTGGAGATTTGTGTGAAAAAATAGATAACTGATTCTATGACTACTAATAGAACTATTTTTATTTAATTAAGAATCAGTTAATGATGTAAACTGTAATACTGAACAAATTAGCTTCAGATAATTTTATATCTTATAAAGGTTATTAATTGATAATCAAATTATTTTTAAATAAAACTTACAGAGCTGAGCATCTGTATGGAGAGTTCCTCCTTTGGGATTTATCTTCTGGGTCTGAATTGCAGGAACTGGTTTATAAGATTGACCTGTGGCTCTATACATGGCTTGAACCCACAGTATCCTATCCTGTTCATCATCACTGGCAAATATTACCGTATCTCCTTCTTTAACAGCATTAAAAAACATATGACCACCCTGAAGGCCTGTAGAGGAAGAAAGACATCATTAAAAATATACACAATTGGCATATTTTAGTCTCTTTCACTCAATGACCTCATAGAAAAGTATGGATTTGATATCAGTAGATCCATGCTCAGCAGACTATTTTTAATTGAGACTCAAACTCAACCTAAGATTTTAATATTTTAAACTCTCAATGTAATACAAAGAAACTTTAATCTTCATATCATTTAGAAATTAAAAAAATTAAAAATAAATCAGGATAACAGTCTAATATGAGCTGGCATTCTTTCTTTCTTTCTTTTTTTTTTCATTTTGACTGGCATTCTTTCTTTCTTTCTTTTTTTTTCATTTTGCTGTGATCTTAAACTTGATAAATCTCCTAAATACATGGCATACCTACATCTGGTCTCTAGCTAGCATTCTCTGAGACATACAAACATATCCCACAGAACAGATAGCTTAATCTGATATTTGATGCTAGAGAATAAAGTCTTACTTATGAGTATATTTAATATCCTATATGCAAGAGAAATACATGAAGAGTTTCTCTTTTTTTTATTATTTAACTTTATTTATTTATTTATTTATTTATTTATTTATTTATTTATGTGAGGGAGAGAAAGTGAGAAAGCAAGCCACCAGGTCCGGGACTCAAACTGCTGTCTGCCATGTGGGAGTCCAATGCTCTTAACCACCATGCTACCTGCTGGCCCTGAAATGAAAAGTTTCTTATAAAAAGATACAAGTAGGCAAAGATGATACCTCACATTGTATAGTATTTTATCTTTTATGAAATTCTTTCATAAAGAAGATATTTTGCGAAAGAATTAAAAATATATATATTTTGCATCTGTAAGTGACCAACAGATGAATATGGTACAGATTCCTAAATTTTAATATCTATACATCAATTTCTTAATCTCTATATTTAACATCAATATTTATTATTCTTGCTATATTAATTTCATTGATATTCATATACTAGTGAATTCACTATTTTTCAGATACCAGGTATCCACCAATATGCCCAGTATCAATATGGAAGGAAGAGAAGTATGAGAACATGCTATTGGGGAGAAATTAGAATAGAATAATAATTCACATGGGATTTCTTCGTGTATTTCTGTTATCATTTTTGCTTTCCAGTAAAGAAGTATGTAAGCATGTTATGTAAGCATTGCTGAAATTTATCAGATCATTTTCTAGTACAGGACCTTTTACTTATTTTGTCTTTTTATTAAAAAAAAAAAAGCTGGTGAATTACGGCTAAAAATAACAGCTCTAAAAAAGACAAAATTTAAATCTCATAAAGTCTTATTCAGGTATGGAAGTGAAATATGTATCTTACTCTTCTGATGGAGTTTGAAATGTAGAACAGACAGAACATTTGTAAGAATTCCATGTATACACACATGGCAGAAAAAGTGATTCAATTTAAATTACCTGGGTGGGGATCTGTATAATCCACAGTATATCCTTCAAGCTGCATCAGTTCCTGCGGTTCAGATTTTTTTTCTCTATAACTGCACATAGCAAAGGTGTACTGGCTAACCTGCTCGAGAAAAAAAAAATGTGTAGTAGTCAGTCACATTCAACTTGTCAGATCTGACTTTTAGCTTTTTGTTTATCACAAGACCTTTTTCTTAAAAAAAAAATATATATATAACATAATATTTGCACACAAATGATTAAATCTTAGCATTTTTGAAAATTAGCCTAGAGATTAAAGAGATCTTTTATTTGTTAGTTTACAAGTAGTTTCCATGCCTAGGATCAAACATTTCCCAACTCAAGAATCACTGACCAAGCTTCTATGAGATATTAACAGAACTAGCATAGGTAAATATTCACAATAAGAATTAAGTTTGGGATAATTTCATTGAATAAAGATAAATAGGCTTCTTTTACTTTAGAGTTTCTTAAGGCCTTCAATATGCTAACACAGACGAATATCGAAGAATAAGACAAATCTACATAATCTTGGGCCTACATTTTATTTTTCACATGAAAATATTTTATAGACGAATATTGAAGAATAAGACAAATTTACATAATCTTGGGTCTACATTTTATTTTTCACATGAAAATATTTTATTAATCCTTAAGTAATAGTTAAGGTGTTGGGACTCCCACATGGTTGACCATAGTCTGAATCCTGGGCCTGGTAGCTTGAAAATCATGCTGGGAGCATGTGTGACCATGCCTAAAATCCCAACTGGAGAATGGAGAAGGGGTTGTGGCATGGTCATCTCCCCTTGGGGATGATTCACACTCTCTCTCCCTCTCTCTGTTTCACTGTCTCTCTCTAGCGGGCACATGTGCCCGGCAAAAAGTAAACAAATACACAAAGCATAGAGTATGGTTTTATGAGTAAACATTACACAGGTACAAGAATAGAAGGATGCATTAGAATATTTACAGTCATTATTATTGGGTAGGGAAATTATAGGTTACATTATTTTTCACTGTTGAGTTTTTACCAAAGAATATGACTTCCCTTTATTAAGAATAATGAATAAAGTTATTTCCATTTTGAAAAATAAAAACAAAATTAAGCCTTGCTAGGGAAGAGTGAAGTCAATGGTTTGTGACAATAGTGGTTCTTGCTGCACCTAAGTTTTCCTTTTCTCTTTCCTCAACATATAGGCTGTTAATGAATTAATTTTTCATTCCAAGTATGTCTAAGACTTACAAATGAAAGCCAGTAACTCCCATAAGATGTTTGCTATTATCATTTAAAGAATGTTTCTGTTTCCTAGTGTATAAATATGTGTGTGTGTGTGTGTGTGTGTGTGTGTTTTGGGTGGAGGTTGGAGGAGGAGATGGGGTATTGAGTTGTGAACAATAACAGTACATTCCTATTGTCTGCTCTAAAAAGTGGTTTATTATTTTACTCAAGGATAATAAATTAACACATATTCTATTCTTCCATAAAGCTACTAGGTCATTGGGAAAGGCATGACATATTTACATATTTTTCTATGTTTTTCTTTTTCTTTCTTTCTTTTTTTTTTTTTTTTTTTTTGAGAGTTTTTTTTGCTATAGGGCACATGCGCTCGCCAGACAGAGAGAGACAGAGAGACAGAAAGCGAGAAACCACCCCGCAGGAGGGATGACGATGCCACAATCCCTTCTCCTCCATTCTCCTCTTGGGATCGTGGGCACACATGCACACACACGTGCCCAGCATGAGTTTTAAGCCACTAGGTCCAGGACGTGAATTGCAGTCGACTACATGGGAGTCCAGTGACATAGCCATTACGCTAACTGCTGATCCCATTTTTCTATGTTTTTCTACCCAAAAATGCCTCATGACTTTACCAATGATCAGTATTTAACACAGTGTTATCCTAAAATATTAGAAATACCTTAAACATGCTTAAAAAGAATACATCTTTTGCAATTATTATTTGGTGATTATTTATGCCCATTAAATTAATTATACTCAAATATTCTATAACATCCTAATATTTCTTCTGATGTATCTATTATTGAGATGTATATGAACATTTTCCACCAAAATTATTGGTCTGTGAATTCCACATGCAACTCTCTCAAATGTTGCTTTGTATCTCTTAGAAATACATAATTTAACATATAATCTCTTACATAATCTCTCTTTCTTCTCTCCATATCTTTCGGTTTCTATATTTTATGGTTTCTTCATCTCTCCATGCTGAGGTCTAAGTAATTACTTTAGATTATAACTAATAGTTATTATTACATCATGTAATTAATAATATCACTAATTTTCTCCTTAGCTGTTTCTAACCTACTGCTTAACCTGTCTAGGAAGGTTCTCTCTCTCTGTCTTTTAAATTTCCAGAGGGCATATATGGTCACTAGACACAGACTGACAGACAAAAAGAAAAAGTGGTCATGCTATAATCTCTTCTTTATTTCTACATTCTGTAAGGATTCTGGACACTCATGGATATTCACCTAGCATGTTTTTCAAACTTCAGGTTTCAAACCATGGATCTTGCTCCTTTACAACAAGGTTATGGGACTAGCCTTGTCTAATAAGTTTCTCATTTCAGTGGCTGTTTTAAGTGTCGGAAGTTCTACAAAGTCCTTTTGCAAATCTGCTTGTTCATTTTCCAGTTTTATTTTGTTGTTCTTTTATTTTTGAACATGCTTATAAATGTTACCACTTTAAAAACAAGAATTTTATAGAGGTATAGATGATCAATTTTGTTTAGTAAATTCAGTTCATGAGTCAATATTGAGCACAATTTTATCTGTGACTCTTCTATAAAGCCCAGATCAATAGCCCATCCCTCAAAAAAAAAAACAACCAAACTATTGGCAGATACCCCAGGGTTATCACCAATCCAAAAGTACCTTTTATGTTAATTTCTTAATTTTAGTTTCCCTCTTATATGTGATAAACTGGAATTTTAATATTCTTTGAATATAATCTAATAATTACAAAGTTCGAGGGCTAATTTTTCTACCATTACACAGCCTAAAGTCAAACTTAAGATCACTAGCCTGAGGGTACACTTTTTTTAGCCTACCATTTCACAGAGCTCTAAACTCTTTTTAAACAATTTTCTGAGTTCTCTCTCCTAACACTCACTTTAAGAATATGTTAGGGGGAACCAGCAGTTAGCGTAATGGCTATGTTGCTGGACTCCCACGTAGTCGACCGCGGTTCGCGTCCCGGACCCGGTGGCTTAAAACTCATGCCAGGTGCGTGTGCGCCCAAGATCCCGAGAGGAGAATGGAGGAGAAGGGATTGCGGCGTAACCATCCCCCCCTGGGGGGTGATTTCTTGCTTTCTGTCTCTATGTCTCTCTCTGTCTGTCTGGCGAGCACATGCGCCCTATAGCAAAAACCTCTCCAAAAAAAAAAAAAAAAAAAAAAAAGAATATGTTAGGGCACGCTTTCCTCTTTCTGACTAAGCAATGAAATCCCAAACATTGGGACTGGCAGGTGGAGTGGTGGTTAAGGGTGCTAGACTCCCACATGGCTGACTACTGATTGAGTCCTGGACCTGGTAGCTTACTTTCTCACTTTTGCACTCTCTGTCTCCCCACACCAGCCATCTCTGGTCAAATTGAAAGAGAGAAAGAAAGTAAGTAAGTTAGTTAAATAAAATAATTATTTAAAAAAAACACATTTACATTACAATGCCAACACCCCAAACTCCCATAATCCCACATCATCAGGACCTTGATGCCTAGTGCAGCTTAGTTACTCATTGTTTTTGGTCCTTCAGATTCCCTCTCCACCCTCATTTTTTCCAGTCTATGAGCTTAAAAACATGTCTATTACATTTTAGCTAGAATTTTTAGAAGTTGGCAAAAAAAAAAACACCCCAAAACCAAACAAATAAACAAACAAAACACACTCTTAGCATTACCTTTAAGCTAAAAGGTAGCTAAAAGTATAAATTTATATTCCTAGGTAAATCCTTCAGCTTTAATTTTGTTGTATAGAGTTTCTGAGTAATAGGTCTAACTTTTCTATGTATGAGCGTGACAATATACATGTCCTCCTCACTACTTTCCACAGAAGCGGCAGAAGAAAAAAGAACCCAAAAACTATGATGGCAGGGTTGGTATATAAAAGCAAACACGTTGTATCAGATTTATCTTACAAATAACTAAATTATAATTGATAGACATCAGAGAATTTTCACAAAGTAGTATTTTTTAAATCAATTATTAACAAGATGGAAACATATCAGGCAAGTAATTCCTAAGTTCCACATCTCTTCTCACATGGAAGAGGCTTAAAAACCGAACTAAAAATGTCTCCTGACATGTCACCACATGAACAACCTGGGACCAGCTGGGAGAGAGATGAAGAACACAGGAGCGCCTGTCTTCCCTGCGTGGCTGACAAACCTGTCCAGCAATTTCTAGCCAGAATAGAGGGCTACCACTGCGTAAGGTACTCCAGACACTCTCCAGTAAGACTCACCCACTTCAATTCATCTCTTCACCTGAACTCCCAAGCAGGAAAATATCACCTGGAGCTTTAAAATCACATTTTCTATCTATTTCTCAATCTAGTGAATCCCTACTCCTTCCTCCAAGATCTTTACAGACATATCCCCTCTGCTTTTGTAACTGCATGACTTTGATTTTTTTTTTGACTTGATTTCTTCATAACATGCATAAACTGGTCTCAATAGTGGGTGTGGCACATAGTCTCTTCCATTACTGCAGGAAACTCAGTTTATTTCAATCTGAGACATACTCTTTCCTGCCATGTGTGAAAATGTATCATTTTTGAAAGTACATACCACATACTAATTTTTTTTAAACAAGAAACAGAAATGTCTTGCTAGCCCTAATAACTCAATTTGTACTCTTTGACGCATCCTCTTCCACCTGCCATAACGAGTGATATTTCAACGTCAAATGCTCGACTTAACATGTTCAGGAAACAGTAAACATGAGTCCAAGCGCATCTGCTCATCCAAGGAGCAAGTCCTGAGCACCCACTATGTGATGGGCACATTGCAAGACCGGGGAGGAGCCAGGTCTTTCTCTCTCAGGATACACAGAGAGCTTCGATGTGACCACAGTCACCAAAGCC